CGTGCCATCGAAATAAACCAATATAGCCATGCCATGCCAAGAGTGGGCGCACTAGGGGGCGTGACAGAGGGGCCAGCGATGAGTGGGGCACGCTTGTGGCCGAAATTTGTTTACAATGTTGACTGTCAATAGGCGCCGGCAAGTCGGACAAACAGGACAGTCGCCAAGTGTCTGGGGAGATGGTGTAAGAGAGAGCAAGTGATAATGGACTGAGAGATACCCTGGAAATTTATATCAGAGAGGTGTAAGTAAAGAAGAACGTATAGCAGCAAAATATATCAATAAATTGTCGATGAAGGAAAAACGAATTTGTGCTCTAGGCAAGTATAGACTATGATATACCCTGTAAATTTAAATGTGAAAACAGGTGAGCAAAGGAATAAATTGTAAGAAATTAATTCCACTAAATTGTTAAGGAAAAATGTAAGCTATATTCCCTAAGCTATATGTATAGACTAGGAAACACCCTCGAAATGTGAATTATGTATATTCCCTAAGCTATATTAAAAAAGCAAAAACTACGAAACACCCTAGGAATGCATATATAAACATGAGGAAATGAAAGAAAAATTTCAAAAATTTCATCTCTTATGAAGGGGTTTATATGCAGTAATATACGCTAAGAAATACCCTAAAAATGTAAATAAAAGCTATAAATGAGGTAACAAAAATAAATATACATATATGTGAAATTTATATAAATATTAATGAATTACCTATAAAAGCTGTGAACGAAATCTATATGAATGTCTATATGAATATTTATAAAATGTATCTAAAAACCTATGAACAAAATAATATAATTTAAATAATATAACTTTCATCTATGGATAGAAGTATGTACCAGAATTTAGCTAAAAATAGGAAAATATATTTGGGCTTTAAGCTATTCCTAAGAAATGACATATTTTAGGAACTCAATGTACTCTATAAATACCAATTGTATTAAAATAAATTAAAGAGTATCCTTTTTACCCTCAATACCCATCATACCCTCTATTCACAGCTCGCTTTTACAGCGCATCTCAATCAAATTACATGCTGTGCGACTGAAGTGAGCTGCCAACTAGCTGCAAAAGGCCTCAAAATCGTTTGATAAAGCCACAAAAAAATAATACAACAACAACAACAACAACGGCAGCCAGGCAAACAGACGACGACAAAGCAACCTTCACAGGCTGCGCAGCCTTGTTGTTGTTGTTGTTGTTGTTGCTGCTGCTGTTGTTGTTTATTTAAAGATATAAATAGCGCTGCCCGACCCACAATAAAAATTATCCTCTGGCAAGCCTTTTGTGTGGCAACTCTGCACCTGCCTGCCACGCCCCGCGCCCAATCACCCAACTTTGCTGGTGCCTCTAAGCCCCACTCAATAACCACTTCACCTTCCGTTTTTGAGGCGACTTCACATGTCAGCTCATGTTTTTGTTGTTGTTGCTATAATTATTGCTCCTGTTGTTGTTGTTGTTGTTGCCGCATTCCATATTTTTATAGCCAGTTTTGTTTTGGGGCTCGCGCTACTGTTTCGGCCCGTCTTCTGCCTGGCTTTATGGCATCCATGCTGCGTCGCTCTTCGCATCTTAGCATTTTGATAGCTTCTGTATTTTTACAGCTCTAATCGCAGACGAAGAAGAGGAAGAGGAAGAAGAAGAGCAGTGGCAGAACTGACTGAATTGCCGACAGCGAAAATTGGCGTGCAAATTGATAGAAATGAAGAGGAAATTCTCAACGCTGCCATCAAATGAAATTTTAAGTGAACGCCAAATGGGCGGCGCTGACATTGTAACAAGTTATCGATAGGCTACATACAACAACAACAACAACAGCGACGATATTTTTATCGATTTTACAAACGTTTGAAGTTGCGAGAAAAAAAATACTAGAAGACGGGCAATGCCAGGTGTTAGCCAAGTTATGAGCGTGGCAGAGGAGAAAAAAAACCGTTTGATGATTGCAATTGAAACGGAATTGAAAAAAAAAAGTTAGCCAAATGGAGATTGAAAGCGATAAATAGAATGAGAGAGAGGGGGTTAGAATGCGAGGTAGGCAGAGCTAGACAGAGGGGGGAGCAAGAGGAAGAGGGAGACAGAGCTAGACAGAGAGACAGCTGCCAGTTCAATGTATGTTACATTGAAGCCAATTTTCTTGTTACGTTTTCGTCGCAAAATAATTGCCAGAAGCGAAATTGTATTCGATTGAGATAAATTTCGCAAAAAAAATAAAATAAACAAAAACAAAAGCAAATAAATATTGAACAAGTCATGGGAATATAAGTTGAAGGCTTTGCGTAGCTGTAAATGCAATTCAATTCTATTTTATTTACAAACGGAAATTAGAACAATTGATTACGAGTTGAGCCTCCCAAGAGGGAGAGAGAGACAGAGAGAGAGAGAGACAAAAAGTAAGCGCTTAAATTTCCCAGAGCAGTAAAATGCTACTCCTGAAGCGGAAGCGATAAATAGAGAATTATGGGCTTAGATCTAGCAAATGATAGAGCAAAAAGCAAAAGGTAGGTATAGAATTGCATATGTAAGTACCTGAAAAATTTAACTGCCTTTAGGAATAGTTTTTCTTTCAGCTCTTACAATGTCTATAGCTAAAGATATGAAAACACTTCCTTTTACTTATTATTCCATAACTTATTGAATATCCATCAGACTAAATAATATTCTCTTTAATTGTCTTTCATCTGGTTTATATTTACGCTAAACTTTTCTACTACCTTTAAGCCCTTTTTTGGCCTTCTGCTACGTCTCAAATTCGTAAGCATAATTTGTCAAAGCCATAAATTTTTTTATTTAAATTTATTGCTCTTAAGACGAACCTTGCTTAACTTTTATGGCAATCTCATTAGACTAAGCTCATGCCAATAGCTTTCTCATTTCTATCATGTCTAACATTCGCAAGTGATTGTCAAACAGCCGCCTATAAATTTGACAAAGTTCATTGGAACTTTAATTCATGTTCTTTTTGGGTAACAGTGGGCTATGTCCCCTACCTTTTATGGAATTTCCGTTGCCACACCCATAAGGCCTACGTCTCATCATTAAATGCGACGCCTTTTGACCGTACACGTTGTTACTTACACACACACACACACATACATACATATATATTGAAAACAAACAAGTAAATAATTACTTCACATTCAATTTGTGAACAAATCTTGTTTGTGCTACAAATGCGCTGCAATTTCGTAAATTGTTGCAAAAAATGCGCGGAATGCGGTTAGCAAAATCAAAGCAAAAGCAAAAGCAAATGTAAACAATATCAACACAAAAGCTCACTGAGGAACACGGCGACGGGGACACGAGAGCGACAGCAACAGCAAATCATATGATTCATCGACTCACTTCGACACACTGAATTAATTATACAAGGCAAGCTGAAATGAGCGCTCTGTTATTTTCTTTCTTTCGCGCTCTCTCCTTCTGTCTCTCTTCGTTTCCACTGACTGCGACGCGTGCTCTCACTTGAACTTGAAATACGAGCATTTTAATTGCAAACAAATTTAAATGCCAATAAAAGAGACGACAGCAACAACAACAACAACAACGACAAAAGCGAAGACAATGCTCGCTGCTTCGCGTTCTATAAATAGACGTGCATGCAATAAAGCTTTTACTGTTCTTGTTGTTGCTGGGAATGTGCCTGGAAATTGCAATGAACCAATCAGGCTCAACGAACAGGCACTCAAAAGCTTCGGCTGGCAAGCCGAGCATAGCCGAGCTTAGGTAAATGAAGAGAACCAAACTTCGTTGATCGCCAACGAAAAAAAAAAAAAAAAAAGAACATCTACACGCTCACATTTTATTTCGGACAGTGCGCTCATCTCAACGCTATCTATCTCTTTCTTTCACACGCCGCTCCAATTTCTTGTTGCTTTTGATTAATGATGACGATTATAAGTCAGTTTGTCAGCTTGGGAGTATCATCGAAAGAGTGACAGAGAGGGAAGAGTAGTGTCGCGGCTTGACTTGACTGACAGCCTTATAAAAGTCAACAAATCGCTTTACAGTGGAGCAGCCGAGGTAGCTAAGTGTGTTAGGTGTGAAAAAATACAAAATTAAAGCAATACAATAATAAAAAAAAAAGTCGGCACGTATGCAAATGATTTGAAATTGCTGAGAGTTAATGCAGAATGAGGTAAACAGATGCATATCTGGCACTAACAGTTATTTGACAAGGCTAAAAGCATTACCAGTGTTGTTCAACAGTTCGCCGAAGTTAGTGTTAGTTAACAACAACAATTGCCGTATGTGGGCCACTATTGTTCCGCCCTCCACTTCACATTGTTTGCTTCAGAGTTGTCAACTCCGCTACCCACACCCAGCCACGCCCCCATTTCAGTTGACCAAGCCTCTCCCTTGCCCCGCCTATTCATGCGCTCGCATTCAAGTGCAGTGAACCATTCGCAGAGTGAACAAAAACATTTCCGTTCTGCGGCAGATGTGTAAAAACAAAATAAAAGTTGTTCTCTTTTTCTTTTTTTGTTAAACTCTCAATTGATACAAAAAAATAAAGAGTCGAGAAACAATATAAACAATATAAAAACAAAGCAGATACATTCAACTGTTTTAAAGTTATTCTCAATTGCATTTTATTTCATTTAACTTCACATTCGCAGCTCAACCAATCGAAGCGATTAATGGGGAAAAATTCCATGGAAATGCGCAACGAAATGAAAGTTTACTCTATATAAGAAATACACCAGAACAATTGAGGCTTTTTTTGGCTTAGTCAGCGAAGTTACTAAAAGTTGAGAGTATGGAAAGTACAGGGAGTTTTACGAAACAAGTATGTAAAGAGTCTAAACTTTTGATGAACTTGTGAAATAAATTATAATATTATATTATTCATATTTTTGGATCGACATAGAAATACATAGACCTTCATTAAAGGCTTTGCTGCTCAATCATTTAACATTGCCTTATATCATGTTAACATAGTTAACATTTCTGGGGAAATTTTGCCAGTGTTGCCATCTCTTTTTAAACACTTACCACCATTCGCATTGATTGCGTTCGATTCCTTGGCATTTGCATTGTTGCTGTGCAAAATATCGGAGAGCGACAGCGAGGAGGCGATTAGCTGACGCTTTTCCTCAAAGTTGAGAAAATCCATGGAGTTGCTGCGCTGCGGCGTAACGGTAATTGTCACCGACTTTTGCATCTTGGCCACGACGCACAGCTGCTGCTCCAGTTCAGCAGCAGAGGCGGCAAGCGGCGAATCTGGCGGCGAATTGGAGGCCGGATGATGATCAATGCCATCCGTGAGATCCGGCGGAGGCAGCGACAATTGTTGCTGCTGCTGTTGTTGCTGCTGTTGTTGTTGCTGTTGCTGGTAGGCTAACGCTGCATGTTGCTGCTGGCTAAAGTAGGCGAACGCCGGCTGCTGCGCGGTGGCAGCGCTGTAGGAGGGCGGACCCAACGGCGCAGAGTGGGCAACACGCGAGGCAGCTGCAGGGGAGAGCTGATAGCTGTTGCTGTTGCTGCTGTTGTTGCTGTTGCTGTTGTGCGTTGCCGTCGGCCCATCCGCTTGATCATGCCCATTGATGGCCGCCACAAGCGTTGCCAGATTATTGCGACTCGTATTGCTGTTGATGTACTTGGAGCCAGTTCCATTGGAGAGCTGTTGCTGCTGCTGTTGCTGTTGTTGCTGATGCTGCTGCTGCTGCTGAAATTTATGCTGCTGCTGCAGCTGTGCGAGCAACTGTTGCTGCTGCTGCTGGTATGACATGTTGCCGCTGTTGTTGCTGCGCAGCGACATAATGTCGTGTGTGGAAGTTTTCAGCTAACTGCCAACAGGGTTGCCAACATCATGTTTTAATTAGTCAAAGACACGCGACCCTTTGCGTGGGTTGCTCGTTTAGTTTGTCACACTTTTCGTTTCGTTTCACTTTCTTTTATGCTTTTCACTTGTTTTTCACTGCTCTTCTCCTCTTTTTTTTTTCTAGTTAATTACTGCAATTAAGCTATTAAAAGACACAATTTATAAACATGCTTCAAAGGGCAACAACAACATTAGGCATTGACACCCCTCAAGTGCTACGGTTTATTTTCTACAGCTTTTACTTTGAACTTTGCGCGCGTAACTGTACATTAGGTACATTAAAAGTCCCATAATAATTTCTAACTTTGCTTTTTAATTATTTCATGTTAAATATTTTTGACAAATTTTACCAAGGCAGTTGGTGATTTTATAAATATATTTATGGAATATATTGGAGTGATATATTTATGTATTTTTAATATTTTACTTTATTTTGTTCTTTAATGTTTTTTTATTTTTGTATTTAAATTTTTTATACATATAAATTTTTTTATTATTATATTATAAATTATATATATTTTTTTTTTAAATTATTGTTTATTATTTTTTGTTTTATTTTACAGTTTTTTCCAACAAATATATACAAAAGCTTTTTGAATTTATGTGAATTTATGCGCAGAATTCCCATGGGAATTCTGTATAACAGATTGTATAACAGTCTATATAAAGCAATTCTCAACTATAAATATTCCTTCAAGCACGCTCAACCTTCATTTACAGCCACTACAACATCATGGCGTTGCCAGATACCCACAAAAAAACAGCCAACTCACATACTTAAAGCTGAATAAGAAGTCAACTTTATAAAGTTAGCCTGATTGCCGTTTATGCGTGACAATTTCAAAGTGATTTTCATCAAATGAATTTTACAAATGAATAAGCATAAAAAGCAATAACAGTAAACGCCAGACAGCAAGAGTTGGCAAGAAGAACGAACAAGTAAAGAAACTCAATGTAAAGTGTCATTCAGCTAAATGTTTTCAATTTGATGAAAATTAACCCAAAAGGCACATGCAGCTGCGAAAAAAGAGTTGAATGGAGGGGAGCTATAAAGAAGAAGAAGAGGAAGACGAAGAAGAGAAACAACAACAACAGCCATAAGAGAAGTGCAGCAAACGACATCGAGATGCGAGTCGCAAATGGCAATGGAAATGGAAATGGAGCTGTATACGGAGTCAAGTGAGTACCAGAGGAGCAAGGGAATCTGGGAGTCTGTGCAGGAGCTGGGCAATTGGCATTCATATGGAGTCTCAGCCGGAGGGCCACTTGAGTTGAAACAAAAGCGAGAAAAGGAAAGGAACAGAGAAACGAAATGTAACAAATTGTGGCAACGCCGACAAATGGCAATGAAATCTGTGCTAAAGCGGAAATATGCAAGCGACTGAAGGGAAGCAGAGTGTGCAGAGTGTGCCTGCAAGGAAATTGTGAGAGTATACATAATTAAAATGGATAATGGGAGAGGGAAAGCGGCAGAGAGATGAAAGAGAGCTAGGAAGAATGAGCTGTTTAAAAGAATGTTCTGCAATGTTTCAAAGTAAATGAAAATAATGTATTATTCATGCTAACACAAATTTAAAGCAGCTTCTATAAGGGCGTAGTTAACATGAAAGCTGTTAAAAGGCAGCCTGAATAGACTGTGTTAACAGTTAGCTATAACGGACAAACAAAACAGTGTTAACAGCCTTAACAGAGAGCCTTAACAGTCAGCTGCAAAATTTAACATTCAAATTCAAATTAAATTTCTGCTTTAATAAAATGTCCCAACAGCCTTAACAGACAGCCTTATAGGTAGCCTTAACAGACATTCTCAGCTGTAAGCCTTATAAATGATGATTACATTATTAACCCAAACGAACATGATGTAACATTTACCACTTGTACATAAAACCAAAACTGTATTACAAACACCTCAAATATATCAATAACACTCAAGAGTTTCAATCAAGATATCCCTTAAAGAACCTGTGAAACGATGTGTAAAATGCATTTCAATTCAAAATCAACATCTACAGCTCAAACAAGTGTGAAACGCAAACGAATCCCATTCGCTACGTTTACCTTTTTACACAGTCCGAACAAAGTCAACTTTAATCTTTCTTTGCCAACGAACGAAGAGGAATCCTGCTCCATCTCCCTTCCTCACTGCCTCTGCCACTGCCGCAATCCTTTGGCAAACCAGTTGCCTGGCTCCTGGCCCAGACAAATCTTATTAGAATACTCAAAAGGAAGCGCAGGTGAGATAGAGAGAGAGAGAGTGAGACCGAGAGAGATAAAAGAAGGTAGCTAACAGGTCAGGTAGATTTCAACTTTGTTAAAGCGCAGATACAGATACAGATACAGATACAAACACAGATACAGATACAGCTACAGCTATAACTACACAAAAGCGAGCTCAGAGCCAGGCACGCAAAGTGCACAGGTAGGCTAACAAAAAGGGAATGAGGCTGAGGCTGATGACAGGATACACACACACACACACACACACACACACACACAAGAAAACCCAAATAACAGAGGAAAAAATATAACACGAGAAGGAAAGGAGAAGATCAGTTGTGAACAGGTAGTAGAAGACGAAATACCCTTGATGAAATTCTAAATGAAAATAAATGTACAACAAATTGGAAATAATGAAAAATGAGATGAGGTTTATAGAACTTAAGTGATATGTAATGATATGTAATAAACATATTAGCGAAATTTCACTTATTTAAAAAATCCTTTTAATTAAAATCAAATATAAAATGGTTATCCTAAATATTTTTCCTCTGTAACAGTATAACAGCTATAACAATCTATATACAACGCATTCAAAGCTATTGGCTTCTTATGAAATTCCAGCTCAAGTCATGTATACCCCATCTACAGGGTATTTGTGTAGTTAACAAAGCCGACAACTACAAAGGCAAAGCCAAGGGCTCAGACAATATTTAAAATTCAAACTGCGTGTTAGCTGCTAGACAACAACAACAACAACAACAGCACCAATAACAACACGCAGTTTATTTAATGAAGTTTAAAATTAAACACGCACAGATCTTTAACTACAGAAATATATATTTATCTGTGTAGTATATATATTTATATATACGTAAATGGCCAAAAAAAAAGCAACAAATAAAGCCCGAAAATATCTACAAACAAGAATAAACGTTAGGCGAAACTTGGCTAACTGTAAACACGAATTGTTGGCTGTTATTAAATTTGCTGCTGCTGCTATTGTTGTTGCTGTTGTTATTTCTGTTACTGTTAAATGTTCCAGTGCGCTGACTTTGACGTTCGTTAGTTTGGGGCCATTTGGCTTTCGGGTTTGGCGCGCGTCAGCGCATTAAGTATCCAAGAATCGGCCAAAATGTGGAACAACTAATACAATAGGCATAGAAATCAACAGCAGCAGCAACAACAACAACAAAAACATAAACAGCAACAGCAGCAGCAGAAAGAGTAGCAACTGTTGCTGCATTAGCAGCAATTACACACTATATAAAACATTTTATGGCAGAGAAAATGCTGGAGAATTTTATGAAATGAATGTCCATTCAGGTGAATATAAAGTGCAAGCGAGATAGCGTGCTATCACAGTATAACAGTTGAGCTGCTGCAGATGGCTAGATAAGCAGTCATGTCAAATATTGGAGAGTGGAGAGCTAAGAAATGTCCTATATTAATGTCATACTACAAGCATTTCAATATAAGGGATATTAGAACGCTTATGTGTATAACAGTAGCCAATGCTGTTAGGTGCCCATTAAGCCTCTGTAAAGCAGCCTTCGGTTCGATTAACAGCCATGCCAATTCTTAGCAGACTCTTAACATAAGTCCTCAACAGACAAACTTGTATAACATTTAATTATAGGGTATGGCACGCACAAGCAACGATTAAATTAGCGAGTGCGTCGCCATCGCTTGGGCGCCGAAGGGGGGCGAACGGTGGCAACTGGGCGACGGCGGCAGCAGCGGTGGCATATTGCACATATGCGAAACGGAAAAGCGATGACGCTGGCAACTTGTAACTTGCAACATCAGCGTTGCATATTAAATATGAATAAAGAGAGAAAAAAAAGCTTGCAGCCTGTGTGTGAAAAGCAAATACAACAACGGCGCAGGCAGTGGGCCTGCAACAACAACCACAACAACAACAACAACAGCGGCAACAGTAGTGGCATACAATGGACTGACTGTGGCTCTTTTGTGGCGCTGTGGCAGGTTCAATGAACCTTTACAGTTCAGTAGTTTAGCGATTTTTATGGCACTGTGGCAACACCGAATGTGTGGCAGCCCCACAAGATTTTGGAAAAGCCAAAAACCAACAACAACAACAACAACAATGATGTACAAAAGATCAGCTATGCGAATGCAAAACTAAACAAAAAATGGAAAGCGCTGAGAAACTCTACAAAAAGTGTAGAGAAGCGCGGGACGAGGGCAGAGGATCAACTAATGCGATTTGCTGTCAAACAGACAGAGATTCATACGCAGGCATACATACACACTCATACTCACTCTCTCACACACACACACAGCATGTATTTAAGTTTATGAACGCTGGCGCCTCTAGCGCCAAAATCCAATCAAATCCAATTAAGAGCAAAAAAAAGCGCAAAACTCGCTGAGAGTGTGGAGGAAGGGGCAGATAGAAAAAAAAGAAGAGGAAGACGAAACAGAACTTTTGTTCCATTACTCGAGCACGTTTTGTGCCATATGTAAACTTAGCAGCAGCAACAACAAACAATTTTGCAGCACACGCGGCTCGAGAAAAAAAAAAACACAGAAACAGAAACAGAAGCAAAAGCAAACAACAAAACCAAAGTAGCCGCCACCGCAGCAGCAACAGCAACAGCAGCGAAAAAACTCCACACTAACAACAACAATAACAAGAGTAACAGTAACAGCAGCAACGGCCACCGACCGAATGTGCTCTCTGACCAGCCAGCAGCTGTCGCACAGGCCTTGCACAGTGGGCGTTCCAGTGTGTAATGTAAAAAGCGCAATTGCAATAACGGTTACTCCCTACTGCTAAACTATTACTAAATGATATTTAAATGCAGCAGCTAACAACTATTTATATTATTTATCTTTATTATTTATTTGCATTTCATTTCAGCTCGACCGCTGACCACTGTGCCACTGAGTTTCTACATTGCACACACATATACTGAGAAGCATAAGTATGTAATTGCAAATATGTGTGTGCATGTGTATGTGGGGTTGTTGCTAATGGAACACAATTCACAGGGCGGCTGCTGCTGCTGCTGCAGCCTGTAGGCAAAGACAGAAGCAGCAACAGAGGCAGCGACAGCGGCAGAGGCACAGATAGAGAAAGGCGGAGAGCGGCATTTGTGCTTAGTCGTCTGCTGTCTCCTTCTTTGTCTGCATGCAAGAATACAACTAAAACGACAACAGCAACAACAAAAGGAAAGCATACAGCAAATAGCATTGAACACAGCCCCAGACAAAACACAACTGAGAGCAACTGGCGTCGCGACGTCAGCGTCGACGTCGGTGTCAAAGTCCAAAGCTGCAAAAAGTTTTTTATTTTTTTTTGTTTTTGGCGCGGGCGACAACCCGTCGCAGTTAGTGCGTTGGAATATTCGCATAAATTTAAATGTGCGCCCACAAAGCAAGAACAAGAACAACCACCACAGTTCAAGCCGGCCTGAAGGGATGGGGAGAGTTGGGGCTACAAATGCGTTTTATGGGGGTTGCTCGGCTATTTGGATGCTGACTGCCCCTGTGGGTAAGGGGAGGCGGAGCACAAACAGAAAGTAGTAAAAATCGCAGCAGACAACAGTTAAATGTGTACGCGAGCGAGAGGGAAAGAGAGCACATTAAAAGAAGCCCTCTTATGGAAGCTTCCATTGCACTCGCACACCGTACACTTACGTATTTCAATTATAGATAGGCAAGAGGCAAAACAAAATAGAAAATACAAATATTTCCGTCTAGACTGGAAAGTAGATAAAAATATTTGTACCAAAAGAAATTACAGCAGAAAAAATGTTTAAGTAAAATTGCGGTAAGTTATGTTGCAATTGCATAGGAATTCCCGATAAGGAAATAACTGCAGTGTGGCCAGGGCAAACATGAAAGAGGGAGAGAGACAGAGAGAGGGGAATTTTATTGCTACAACATTAAACGGCCGTGTTGCGGATAAGATAACGGAATTGAGTAACTCTCCCAAAAAGCAAAAACCAAAAACATGTTGGCATGTTCAAATTCAATTTATAGCGATGCACACGGAACAAATTTCAAAGTGTTAAAATAACAGCTGCCAAAAGAGCAAAGGAAAACCCCGAAAAAACCAAAAAAATTACTATTCAGAAGTGCAAAAGAGAGAGCACACTTAATATGTATTTTAATAATAGATTGTTTAAATATGTTGTTGATTTTTTCCCTTTTTGTTTTGTTATTGATTTCACTTTTTTCATAAATATTTTATGCTGCCTCTTTTATTAATACACAAATGGCCGCTGTCTACGCTGACGTCGACGTCGCTGATGCTGCTGCTCCTATTGTTGTTGTTGCTGTTTGTGTATAACAGAAATAGAAAAACTGTTATTGTTGTTGCTGTTGTTGTTACTGTTGCTGGCACCTGTACACAGCGCTGCCGACGTCAGCGCTGACGTTTAGCATCTGCTTTCGTTATTTTTATTTATTTGTCAGTTTCGTTTGGTTCATTGAAAGTTTAATTCACACCTGCAGTTTTCAACAAATTTTTATGGAATTTTCAACACAATGCATGCAACAAAACGCGAGACCAGAAAAAAAACAACAAAAAACGAGAGACGAAACGGCAGCAGCGCAGAATGCGACGTCGGCTTCAGAAGTTGTAAAACCGGATTTTCTTTTTGGGCGCTTAGTAGTGTAGTTTTTTTATACATATATATTTTTATTGCTGTATCAGTTGTTGTTGCCTTTTGCACTTTGTTTTCGATTCGATATTGAAATGAAAAACCAATTTTTGATTGAACACAAGCTGCTGTTGTTTTTTATATGTATATCCCTATCCCGTTCTTTTCCACATATTCGCTCGGCCTCTCGTGTCTTACGCTCTTCTGCTTGTTCTTCTAGTTGTTCGTTTGCCTTCACATTCCATAGAACGCTGCCATTTGTTTACCCGCCGTTGCGGCGGCGTCGCTGTTCTGCTCTCTTCCTCTTCTTACTCTTTCACTTACACTTGCCCTGCAGCTGGCGATAATAATTTCGCAAGTATTTGCGTGTTGACTTTTCAGCTTTGCTCATTAATGATTTACTAATATTTTATTAATGCACAACATACAAAGGTACTTGCACACAAATACACTCACACACACACACACACACACACTGGAAACGCGTCGCGCAATAGAAACACAAACGCTATGTGTTGAAACACACAACGGCAATAATATAATTTCGTCAAACCAACATTTTTTTAGTTAGTTGAATTAATTTTAACAACAAATTTGGCGTCCATTTGCGTTTGTATTTGCTTAAACCGCAGACCGCGCGTCCAACTCGTTCAACGGTTTTTTTTCGACTCGCTTCGTGCACACTCCGCCAAGAGAGAGGCGAACATCAGCAGTGATGAATAATAATCGCATACATGTTATTTCACACACATATGAAACCGCTCTCACGCATTCACGGGTAGCAGTTGTCAATTTAACCACATTAGCATACATCTAAATACAACTCTCACTTATGAAATAATATTTGCATATTTTATTTAATATGTTGTCTTTATCATTACAATATATATTTTTGTATTGTATTTTTTATATTGAATTAATAAAATATTCAAACAGTCACACGGCTATTCACAAGTGTCCGTGAGTGCCACTCTGCGCTCATCTCTAGCCAAACGTATGTGTGTGTTAGTGTTTACCAACAGCTTTGTTGTTGTTCTCAACGATAAGTTACTCTCCCTCTCGCGCGATTGTTTCTGAGCAGGTCTGTTAAATTAACAGCGCACGCTCAGCTTATGTTAAGTCTTAGTGGCAAATATTTTACAGATTAAATATCATAATTTGCTTAGTTAATTATTTCTAAGCTTGATTAGTGTTACACTTAATATTTTTAATGTATTTATTGACTACAGTCATATATTACAATTAACTTAATTTCTTAACAGATTATAAATATCAAGCAATCCACAATTTAACAGTCTGGCAACATCGCCAGCTGAGCGTGCCAAACGTATAGAATGGAAGAGCGAGAGACAGCGGCAGAGAGACTTATAATTGTATAGCATGCGAGCGGCATGTGAATAACATAATTCCCACAAAGCAAAACATACACAAAACACAAACAACAAAACCAAAAACAAAGACAATTCACGGAGAGGGTTTTAATTAGCCGACTGAGCTAATTATAAATAAAAATTGAATAAAACGAACGGGAAAAAGCATTTTTGATTTCATATGTTATTGATTATGAAATGTTATCAGTACTGATTAATTTTGATTGTAGAGATTATTAATATTAGGCAATGATTAATAGCGGTTCTTTGTTGTTTGCACATTTATGAGACATTTAAAATTACTTTTTGTACGAACGTATTAATAGTAATTGGCAATTTCGAGCAGCCCAATTCAAATGCGGGGAAGTTTCTCAACATTCCACTTAAAATGCGTAAATTCCCATCAAAACTATTTGCCCACTCGCCTATTCGCCCCTCCACACTCATACACACACGCATCTAGTCTCATTCCAATTAGCGATGAGCCAATGACCAGCACAGACAATAATCCACACACACACATACACACGCACATTTAAGTATCTGCTTTAATTCCCATCACTAACTATAAACATCCCAGTCCCAGCCCAGGCCGCCCCCCAACCCAATGAGCATATTTCCCAAGCAAAGGGAGCAATCAAAAATGAAATGTTAATATTGTTTTGTTTTTACTCCACTTCAAAAGCAATTTATCGTGTTTCTTCTATTCCATTTGCTACACGCAATCTTTTGTGGCATTTCCTAAAGGAAAATACAAAAACTACTTGGAAAATTTCAAATTCCTAATCTATTTTTAGATCTCATTTATTTTTGTTTTCATTTTCAAATTTCAGTAGGAGATGCGGCCCATATATAGTATACACATACATATATGTACATATATAGAACAGGAAACGGAAGCAAACGCCAGGGGCGGGCACGGTGGGCGGCGTAGACTTGTGTGTGTGTGTAAGTCTGTGTCTAGGAATTGTTTTGGAAAAATGCCGGCACAGGCCAGAGCGCAGGCGCAAGAGTGAGAGAGAGAGAGAGAAAGACAAACAGAGAGCGAGCGTACACAACAACAACAGTTGCGGAGCCACTGTGGCGTTAACAGAATGAATTTTGTATAGCATGCGAGAGATTAGCAACTGAACAGTTGCTCTCAAACTGTATTCGGGCTGTTTAATTTTGAAGTGAATTATGCGTAAATAATTGAAGAGTTTTTCTTTCGTATTTGTTTGTAGGTTTACTTAAAATGCTTTGAACTATGATGAAGAGCGAGAGAGACGGCGAGAGTGAGTGGAGTGGAGAGGAGTGCAGAGCTTTAAATACATAAATAATTGGGAGGGATTTTCAGTAAATGCAACGTCTGCATAGAAATTTGTGAAAATATAAGTGTGTATGAAATAAATGGGCAAATATATATAAATATATAAGTGTATATTTATGCATATATATACATATATATGTATATTGTTTTCTAATCTATTTCACTTTAATTTTTATTTTTCTTCCCATTGTTGTGATCAGGCTCTGGAACTAGCTCAAATGGTAGTAGCTTATTTTCTATGCACTTCCACATTCTTGAAGCAGGGTCTAGTTCATTTCTCATTTAGTTCCCTATCTCAAGAACTAATTTTAGTTCACTGATTCGAATTTTCTAGTTCATTTTTCATCTATTATATTTTTTATGAACTCATATTAGTTCACTTTCTTTGACGTTTGTAGTTCTTGTTCTCTGTAAGTTTTAGCTTTGAATTAACTTGAACTAGTTCATTCTTTTATTAAAGTCACACAACTTCTGTAGTTCCGATAAAGATTTAGATTTTTAAAAGAACTTGTAATAGTTCACTGACTTTAGTTCACTAGTTTGCCCTTTCAGTTTTCCCATTTCGCAAAATATTTTGAATAATTTGCAGAGCTTTTGCTGCAATTGAAACCGAATGCCATTAACAATTCGGGATTGCTTAACAAAATTAACTATGAGATCTAGACAAAGCGACAATGCAGACATTGAAATATCTGTCGAGATATTCGAATGAAGAGCTGCCAACTAAATTTATGTCGGATTTAAAATGCAAAATGCAAAGAAGAAGACGAAGAAGGGGAAGGGGAAGGGGAAGGCAAAGTAACAGCGACAGCAGCAGACGTTGCCATGGCTAAGACAAAAGGATGCACCAAGGACTTGCTGTCAGCCAAGCTGCTTTAATTTAACAACTTGACAAATTGAATATATGCATATATATACATATATATATTTAGTGTATATACATATATATATAGAGAGTACATCTAGTATATAAAGTGCTCAAGTGATGAAAAGTTTATAGACAATGGGCTGGGGTCCAAGCCCGGCTAGCAGCACTTCAAATAGGCGAAAAATGTCTGCAAATTAGCCTGGTCGGAGATTCAGGAGTTACAGTAAAGCCTAACTAATGCGGACATGGGATATTCAGAAAAGTTAAGAGTCTTGCTAAATAGTAAATGAATTTCGCTTCAGAGTTCGTTTTCTTATAAAGCACAGAATCAAAATTTTATACCATATAGACCATATATATACAGAGATTAAAGATATATGGTATAAGCATATAAAAAACTGACTGAAAATTTACATTTTATTTTACATATGACAATAAAAATCCATTAGAAATATCTAGTTCCGAATAGTTCTCTCGAGCACGTAGAGTTCATAAAAATGCTCAAAGCACTTTCAGCGCCCTACCAGCGCGCCAGTCTCCACTGTAGTCCGCTGTCAGCTGCAAATGGGCCCATTTCGACTGTCCTCGAATTATTAGGCAAGGACCTTCGAATTAGCCCAACTACAGGGCACGATAATTGTGCATGGCCCCGGCAAGCAAATGAACATGTGCAGCATTTGGGGTTTTCTGCCAGTATTTTCTTCAGTCTTCTTTTTTTGATTACTTCCGATTTGGGAGGCCCAAGTGTAAACAGAAAATGGGTAAAAAAAAACAACACACACACACACACAGCTTATGGCCTATTACAAATGCAGCGCACGACCCGAGAGACACATAAAGCCCACATACTTTTGGCCCACAGCTAAATTAAATAATAAATAAATAAAAAAAAAAAAACAACAACAACAACAACAAAAATCAAATGAGCTACCGAATCGAGCGGAACGTGCCATGGTCAATCATGACTTGGTCCGATTTATCAGATTCTGTTCGATTCTGTGACGTCGGCGCTGGGCTTTGGGCTATAAAAGCGACAACTAGTTGGGCTTACAAATCATATCAGTTTGTCAGACACAAGCAGTAACAACCCCATCCAAAATCAAGATGTTCAAGTTTGTGAGTAGCTCCAAAAGTGAACCAGTTGAGCAGGATAATGGAACTAGTGCAGAATGTGTGAAAATTGTTTTGACTATAAGTTCCTTCATAGTGATTTGATTGAGGATCTAAAGTGAATTTGTTTGGAACTAGCTCACGGGAACAGCACGCTGATAAAGTGAGCTAGTTCGAAGCTCCAAGACATTCAGCGTTTGTTTTTAATCTATATATTCATAGGAGCTGGAAAGCAATTTAATAATGGAACTAGTTCTTTGGATCCAATTCCTTTTCCGACTACATTCTGTTTCTGTTTCTCAGTTACAGAAATGGAACTTGTGCTCAGAAATTTGTTCAAATGAACTAGTTTAATGTAGGAAACAATTTGGAACTTTCAGTAGAGTAAATATAGAAGCTATTATTGGAGAATCACATTGAAAAAAGCGGTGTACTAGAACTAGTTCCTTGAGTTAGTTCTTGTGAACTAGTTCCTTGAGTTAGTTCTTTTGAACTAGTTCTAGTGAGCTCAACCTTTTATTTCACGCATATAGCGTTCAAAATAAATAGTCCATCGATTTAGTTCTTTAGAACCAGTTCGTTCTTTTGAACTAGTTCATTGAACTAGTTCTTTTGATCTAGTTTCAGTTATAATTATCTTTTCTTTATTAGTTCATTTGAACTAGTTTATTGAACTAGTTCTTTTGATCTAGTTTCAGTTATAATTATCTTTTCTTTATTGTGTTGGGCTTTCATTTACTATCCAACTGCTCAAATGAACCACTAGTTCATGAACCATTAACTAACTGCTCTCTCTCTCTCTCTCTCTCTCTTTCTCTCCATTCACAGTTCGCTCTCTGCCTGTTCGCCGTTGTCGCTCTGACCGCCGCCAAGCCCCAATTCCTGGCTTACAGCGCCCCCTATGTGGCAGCCACGCCCTATGCGGCCGCCTACACCAGCGGCGTTTACGCCTCGCCCTATGCCGCCGCCTACACCAGCGGCGTGTATGCCTCGCCCTATGCCTACAGCGCCTATCC